GTTTGGAAGAAGAAGATTCAGGTTCTGACATAGAAGAAAGAGCAGATTAGATGAGCAAAATTAATTAGGGAGCCATGCCAATGCATCAACTAAAAAAAAAAAAATTTTTCAAAAAAAAAAAAAAAAAAAAGGAAAAAAGAAATGATTTATTTAATCAGCACAAACCTTCTCCTTCTCGGCCATGACTGCTAAACGGACTGCTAGCTAGAAGCCTAGAAAAGATGAAAGGAATTAAGATAGGATGCTTCTTAAGGGTCTGGTTTTCTGTACCGTACTAAGAAGTATAGTCAATATTCGTCTTTTATATAATGTTGGTTCACTTGGTTGTGGGAGCTGTCGGCAGTTACAGTGGTTTCGTCAGTAGCGTAAAAGAATTTTACACCTGGAAAGGCTGTAAACCTGTGGATGTGCTGGCTCTAGTACATTTAATAAAAAAATGAAATTAATGGCTAGGTCTCCACGGATGAATCCATTGTTTTGGAAACCAGATTAAACCAGTTGGACCAGCCCGCGGTAATAGGAACGGTTTGGATAAATTTTTAAAAACCAGATCAGACTAATTGATTGAACCAGTTGGAGCAGCTTGCGGTAATAGAAACGGTTTGGATATATATTTAAAATTATTTAAGAGGTTAAACCATTTAAACCAACAACCGACCGAGCCAATTTGTAGGAGAAAATTCACAAGAATTGTCGCGGCTGGGCTTTGAACACCACACCTCGTAATTCTTTGACAATTCTTTGGCCACCCGAACAACCGAGCTCTTTGTTAAACGATTTCCGAAGAATATTATTTAAAGAATTTGTTTAAAGAACATTACAAACACTCTAAAGGAAAAACTCGAGTGACTTCCTGAACGTTTGAACACTTGTTCCCCCATATGTTTGAAATGACTTCTTACCACCTGATCTGAACTCATGTCATCACACTTTAATGCCTTAAGATATTTATTACAATAAAATTACATAAATTGAATAAATTTGGCACATTTAAAACTTGACTCTTTCTTAGTTCAATATATGTTATGGTTTCACGGTATGAGTGTTGGTTTGGCTTTTATATTAGTTTGTAGGAATTTTTTCGTTTGCTTACAGCTATTTTGGTTCTGAAATAATTGTAGATTTAGTTCTGATTTGCCTTGGAAGTTAGGATTGCTTAGGATGAACCTTACCCCGAACCAAGTTCCCATGAATATTGATGTATTTTTTAGTTTGTGGGATATTTAGAGAAATTTTTTCTAAAATTTTAAAGTTCATTCTACTGTTAAAAGTATTTTGCTTTCAACCTTCTATCTTAAGTAGTTTTCATTCTTCAACTTCAATTCTACAAGAGGAGAACTATTAGTTTATTCCCTTAACTATTTCTCTCAAATTTCTTACTTTTCTCCCCCTACATCTCTAACTGTTAATAACCATTATGATGCTTAATCTTCAAGTCATAGGACAGTTGGCCCAATCTAAATCAAAATAGACTAATAGTTGTAAAAGGATTGAGGAGCGAAGAAAGATACCGTGCCCCGATGAAGGTTTTAAGTGCCATAAGATATGTATTGCTGCATAGAGTGTGAAACACATCAGAGATTTTAGGGCGTGTTATAGTCAAGTATATGAGGCGTCCAACAACTGGCCATCTATATTCCGTGGGGTTCGAAAGAGGAGGCTCGACGTCATAGGTGAGTTTAAGCTTTTGCTCCATGGGAAATGAACATGTGGCTTGGCACCAAGCATTCCAGAGTCATTCAAGATATCAAGTGTGTACTTTTGTTGGCAGAGGAAAATTCTCGAAGGTTGTCAAGCGACTTCAATATCAAGAAAATATTTGAGTTTGCTAAGGTCTTTGATGTGAAATTGTACATTGAGAAAATCCTTCAATTGCTGATAAAGAGATGAACTATTTCCTGTAACAATAATTAAATCATCAACATATACTAATACAGTGAGAAATTATTCTTACACCGATAAGTCAAAAAGGAATAATCACATGCAGCTTGCTTGAATTGAAAAAGTCTTAAAGCAGAAGAAAATTTAGCAAACTAATTGTGTGAAGCTTGTTTTAGTCTGTAAAGGGATTTTCTTAAGCGAACAACTCATTTTTCTCCTTGATTCCCATGGTTAGGTGGTAATTGCATGTACACTAGCTACTTCATTGAGGTCACCATGAAGGAAAGGCATTATGGATATCCAATTGATATAATTCCCAATTGCAGGTAGAAGCAATGGCAAGTAGGCAATGAACGGTAATGAGTTTAGCAACTCGGCGCAAATGTGTAATGGTAATCTAGTCCTTTGTAATGCTAATGCACAAGCATATATAAACAACTGCACACAAACAGCATCTAGAATTATAGTTCATTCATCACTGTAAGTAACAGTTAAATTTTTTGGACATATCTTGAAAGAGCATTCTGATTATTTCAAGGAATGAAGAAAACAACCATTCGATGTTTAATTGAAACAAACAAGAGTCCAAACTACCATAAAGCATATCATAGAAATGAAACGGATACTGAAAAATAGGAACCAAGTGGTTTTAGCAACTTTTGGCTTGCTTGTGGGATTCGCATCAATATCAAAGAGAAATTAATATCACTATCAATTCTTCACAGCAAGCGTCTATATATTTGAAGCAGAAATTATTGACATAAAAAGTGGACAACATAGTTGCATTCTGACTCTACACATTTGCAGAACGCGTCTTTGCAACTCTTACCGCACTTACTGCATTTGTGATAGCGAAGATTGTCCTTCATGAAAGTGAGAGGGTGTTCATGAGTTGCAAACTTGGCAGGTGACCCCAACTGTTGTTCCTCGAACAATTTTAAGGCGATTCAATTTTGTGCCTCCATGAAAGCTTTTGAGAACCAAAGTGAAAAAGGCTTTGGGTTGATATATTTCAAAACGTAAGTTAAACTTTTAAGCTTACATGACCAAGGAGCCATTTGTGGCGATAAAATGTGAGGTGTGCTAATATGCTTTTATGAAAATTTTGTGTGAAAATGAGTTTCTTCATGAACTCAAGTATTTGAAAAATGTGAGAATCACATATTTGAGATGCTCTCAATGTGGGGGATTGTGTTATCCCTATATATTATTATTGGTAATGAGACCAATGATGCCTAATTGAGATTTTGCATAGCATTCCTATTATACAATAAAGTATAATGGTACTTAACAAAATAAATGTGATATGCATTCTTATTATACAATTATGGTATTATGGTGTATGATGAAAAAATAATAAGGCACTTGAGAAAATGGGTATGTAATGAACATTCCTATGTACAACAAGGTACAATGGTGTTTGAGTTAAAAATTCTTAAATACATATTTTGACATGTATGGAAAGAAAATGGTGGTTCACTTGCTCAATTTGATATAAAAAAAAAAAAGTTGTGGTACCATGAATTGAAAATTTGAGAAAAATGAATGTGAATTTTATGAGCTAATAGACATGTGGGTTGATGTGAAAAAGTGAGAAAAAGAATGAGTTGAATCTCTTTTAACCCACTATATCACCAACTAGGCCTTTGGCAAAAACAAAAGTTGGAGGAAAATCTATGGTCATAGTCCAAGATCTAGTGCTCATCGAGGGAAATGAGATTCAAGCCCAATAATGTAAAACTTCCTATGAGGATACCCAACCCGAATTCTAAGAATTGGGTTTCGAATGGGAAAAACGAATCATAGAGAAGTCGTTGTTAAAAGATGCATCAATATTTAATGGAAAAAAATAATTTTCGGTCCCATTCCTAAGGTGAGGATGCATCTATCTCATAACGAATTAAGGGTTGAGTTTTATACTCTTAATGAAATTTGTAACTCATAGAGTGGGGTGTTTTAGTTATGGGAGCACCCTTGACAAATTTCATCTATGTGGGTGTCGAAGTAAGGCCATTTCTATGAAAATTGGATGTGTAATTTTCTAGATCACCCATGAAAACCGAGATCATGTGCAAGGCCATAATGCGCTAGCTATGTGAAAAAACTCAACATTCGAATCATTATGTGTGTGATACAATTCTTGTATCTTTCAATTGGGTCATAGTTCAAGACTTAATTCACTATTGACTTTGAAGGACTTGGTCAAACTAGCCGTTAGAGGTTAATTATCCTATTTAAGGGCACATTATTTCATTATAATTGCCCAATTTATTCTTACCATTAACCTATAAATGGGAGTTACAAGACCATGAGTCCTATAAATAGGACATGTCTTTTGCTCAAAAACGGGGTCTTTCTACACATTCCTCTATTCTTTCTTACCTCACTTTATTTTCTAAATATTTTTGGATAAAGAAGGGTGTTTTGAGTAAGGTGACTCTATGGGTAGTGCAGATCCATAGAGGGTTATTATAAAGCTGTAGTATCCTGCGGGCGACATGCTTTATGTATCTCTGTTGCACCGGTTGATCTACTCTCCACAGAGGTGTGAAAGTGTGAATCGCCTTAAAATAAGTAAGCTTTTCACACCTATTTAGATGATATTTTCTTAGCAATATTTCTTGATAAGTTCACTAATTACTATTTTATTTGATCTTGTGACCGAGGCACAACAATGACATGATGTGGAGATGGAGGAGAGTGTTTGAGGAACAACACCAACTTCACATATGGGTACTTGCTGAGAGCACAAAGGGGATGGCAAGAATAATCACAAGTTGCACAGTAATAAAACCACTTTTTGGATCTCTTGGTTCTTCACATATGTCACAAAACCATTGATACGAATCATGAACATCATCATTGTAAGTGAGTGCAAGAGGATGTTCATCATGCTTGTACCAGGCCGTTTCTGGTAGCGCAATACATCGGTGACACAAAACAAATTCACAATTATCTTCACACCTGAATTTTCCATATTTGTTATTACAAATACTACACTCCCTTGTATACTTGTGGTCAAAGAAAAGAGGGTGCTTGAGTCCGTGAGCACTGAAGTAGTCTGTAATTTCAAAGCATCTAATGCAGATACTTGGTGATCTGTCATCATCATTGACGTAGCAAAACCCGCTGCAAGAAAACCCAAAAATAACACCAAAAAATGTGTTCAAAGTTGAGAGTTCGGGTCTTCTCAACGCTCCAGTGTTTCTTCCTTCTAGGTAATTTGGCACACCATTTATGAAGGAAGTAATTACATTCAGCACAATGGTAGAATGCAGTTGAGATTGATCTCCTGCAACCGTCACAATAATATTCACAAATTTTCACCACGTCGCTTAATAGCAACTTGTGGTCATGGCTGAAGTGTTTAATTTGTCCTCCTCCCAAGGTTTCACTGGACTTCTGATTTAATTCTTTCATCTCTAAATTCTCGTTGTCCCAAAGTTTTTTGTCTCTTGCACAATTCACATGGACAAAATAATCACAATCTAATTAAGCAACGGTAGCTCCCATATTCCGTATTCACTTCTTTCCGACCAATGCTGCAGATCCTCTTTCTTACTTCATTTTCTTTAAGGAAATAAATATGGAAAATTGGGTGCTCATGCTTTCTTAACTTGATGGTATGTGGAAGGGAAATGCAATCCTTATGCACTACAAGATTACATATGGTGCATATGTAAGGCATGCAGTACTCACCACAAATACCACATGCATCACAGATGAACGACATTGGCCTTCGGAGGAGAGTGAATGGATGTTCATGAGTCTTTGCTTCAAATAAATGAGAGAGTTTATTTGATCCGAATGCTGAACTCGCAAGGAGAACAATAATAAACAAATCCATTTGGGAGTTTGTTGCATAAATGGCAAGAACATTCCTTTTCATGTGGATAACTGGCTAGAAGAGCAAGAGGGTGTTTGGAGTGGCTCGAGGGTCGACGGGGCAGAAGAGTAAGAGAGTGTTTGCGGTGGCTCGGGTGATTTATCACAAGAGGAAGCTCAGTGCATTTTTTATGAAGGTAAAATTCACAATCAAAACAACAATAAATAGGACCTGATATCGAACCGGGCTTTGTGGCCTAATGGTTCGACCCCAAACCTTAAGTGCTTGGATGAGGTGGTCGGAGTTTTGAGCTCCACCACCATCGTGAACTCTACTAAAAAGCGGTCTGATAGTCGCGTACCTCATTTGAAGGGGTGAAATGTTCACCCGGTCTAAGGATCAATTGCTAACAATTAACTCACTAACTTCCTAACCATTACTTTGTCAAAAAAATTAAAAAAAAAAGACCTGATATCGGATCTTCACATGCAAAGCAAGACTGATCGGCATCTTCAATGTAATGCTTTTCAATGAACAAAAGTGAATACTGATGGCTAAAATGTTGAAGCTTAGGGAAATTTCCAGTAATCAATTTTCGTAACAGAGCACATTGTATGTCAAGGTCAAATTCACAAGCAGAACAATGATAAACAAATCCCTCACCTTTTTGCTTTCGACAGGAATTGCACTTAAACAAAACACCAGCAGAGTCGTATTGCGGCTTATCATAAAGAACGAGAGGATGTTGGGGATGAAAAGGATGATCCAACTCCCTGGGTAGCTCAGCACACGTCTTGTGAAGGAAAAATTTGCAATTGGCACATCTGTAACTTGAATCCTGTATGAGTTCCCTGCATCCTGAGCAATAAGCCTCCCTGACTTGGTCTCTCTTATCTTCCACGAGGAGCAGGGGATGCGGATGACTAAAATGATTAAGCTCCTTGGATGCAAATTAGGAATCTTTCAGTTTGGTTTGGGTGGTCACTGAGGAGCAAGTAAACGGAGTCAACTTGTCTTGTACATCAAACCATGGCCCATTTCAGGTCATGATGCTGCCCTCCACTCACATTTAAAATTAAACAAAAGGTCCCCCTCACATGTGGTTCCAGCTACATACTCCCACTGTTCCACTTTGATTGACCTTTTGGGAGGTAGCACAAGGATCAGGGGAATACTAAATTGTTATTGATTATAGAAATAACAACATTGAAAGTACTATTTTACCATTTAACTTGCAATCCCTCAAATAACTCAATAATAGTCATTACTTATAGAGTCCTCATAATCATTGACCCTTCTTTTTTTTTTCGATTTTGCTTAACTCTTTGTTGCAACAGGCAGGTTTTTATCATCGTTAACTCTTAGTTGTTCCAATTAATTTTAAATTTTTAAGTTTTATCGATAAATTTAAATTTACTGATACTAAATTACCAGCTACGCGGTTCTTTGTAAATTGAGAGTGTTTGCGGTGGCTAGGGTGATTTATCACAAGAGGTAACTCAGTGCATTTTTTAAGAAGGAAAAAAAGACAATCAAAACAACAATAAATAGGACCTGATATTGGATCTTCACATACAAAACAAGACTGATCTGCACCTTTAATGTAATGCTTTTCAACTGTTAGAGACAGAAAAGAAAGAGAAATATTTGAAGAAAGATTTATTGCTTTCTTAAATAATACTGTATGTACAATGATCTATATATAAGTGTTTAAAAAGAGAGTATTCTAAGATATAAAGCATACAAAGAAAATATTTTAAAGTATAAAATATTTACAATAATTGTGTTTACATCTTAACATCCCCTCCTCAAACTCAAGGGGATTGTGATGAAACCAACTTAAGTTTGGAAAGAAAAGTTTAGAAGTATCCAGGGAAGTGAGCCTTGGTAAACAAATCAGCAGGCTAATCAACAAACTAATGAAAATCAAACGAATAGTTCCCTTTGCAACATGATGACGAATAAAGTGACAATCAACTTCGATATGCTTTGTACATTCATGGAAGACATCATTGTAAGCAATCTGTATAGCACTTGATTATCACAATATAAATCAGTAAAAGAAGGCTAAGGATTGCCCATATCTTCAAGAAGCCATCGTAATGAAAGAAGTTCTGATGTGGTATCGCCAATAGTTCTATACTCAGCTTTAGTATTAGAACGAGATGAAATAGTTTGTTTCTTACTCCGCCAAGAAATAAGAGAATTACCAAGGAAAAGACAGTAATTGGTGGTAGATCTACAATCAGAAGGATCATCAACCCAATCAGCATCAAAATCAACGCAAAGCACAGGGGAGCAGTTAGCAGAAAAATGGACTCCATGAAACAATGTTCCCTTAACATAGTGAATAATGCGAAGTATCACTGCATAATGAGTGGAGTGAGGAGCAGCCATAAACTGACTAACCATGTGAACTGCATATGCTATGTCAGGTGTGTCATGATAAGATAAACCAGACTACCAACCAATTGCAGATAGCGAGTAAGATAAGAAAGTGGAGAGCCATCCATATAGGTGTAAGCTTGAAATTAGGTTCAAGAGGTGTAAAAACACTTTTACTGTCATCGAGTTCAGCTTTAGAAATAAGATCAGAGGCATACTTTACTTGAGAAAGCAAGTAGCCATCATCTGAAGAGGTGACTTCAAGCCCTAGAAAATAGCTTAGACCACCAAGATCTTTCATCTCAAATTTTTGACTAAGAGATTGTTTCAACTCCTCAACACTTGCGACATCATCTCCAGTAATAATCATGTCATCAACACAAAGAAGTAAAAGAATCATACCCTGAGTAGTTTTACGAATGAATAGAGCTGTATGATATAGACTGGAAGTAAAACCAAACTCACTCACAATAGCACTAAAGTTTGCATACCAGGCTCAAGGGGATTGCTTCAACCCATATAATGCACATCGCAATCGACATACCTTGTTTGAAGGATGGTTGAGCCTAGGAAGTGATTTCATATAAACTGCTTCTTCTAGGTCACCATTAAGAAAAGCATTTTCCACATCCATTTGAAACAATTTCTATCTCTATATAGTAGCAATAGCAAGTAAACTGCGCACAGATGTGAGATGAGCAACTGGAGCAAATGTTTCCTCATAGTTTATTCCATGCTCCTATGTAAAACCCTTGGCAACCAAGCGTGCCTTATAACGTTCCACAGAACCATCAGATTGTAACTTGATCTTGTACACCCATATATAGCCTATCAAAGACTTTTCAGTAAGGAGATCAACTAAATCCCATGTACGAGTGTTCTCAAGAGCTTGCAATTCATCTTCCATAGCTTGTTGCCAAAGAGGGTTAAAAGAGGTCTCTTGATAGGATTGAGGCTCATGTAAAGAAGTAATACCAGGAAAACAATGATAATCATGAAGGTCGCTGGGCGAGTTTCTTACCTGAGTAGGATGACTCAAGGATGGGACAACAAGCTCATTTGCAGACTCAACATTATCAGATGTAACATCAACAGGCGATACAGATGAGGAAGTAGAAAAAGGCTCAAAATTATCTAATGCATTACCAGTAGGCAGATCATCTTCTACAAAACTAGTTGGAGCATGTGGTGAGGCATTGTAGACCTCATGAGATGTACCTGCATCAGAATCACTGGGAAAAAGCTCAATAGAAGGATTAGTAAAAAATGGAAATTGATGAGAGGATGACACTTTGAAGTTTGACAACGATGAGAACATAATGTGTTCCCAAAAGATAACATGATGTGAAACTCAGAGTTTTTGTGACACAGGATCCCAACAACGACATCCTTTTTATGTAATCCCAAAACCCAAAAAATAGCATAATTGAGCTCTAGGCTCTAACTTGTTATGTTCATAAGGTGCAAGAAGAACAAAACATGCATGACCAAAAACCTTAAGAAGATTATCGGTAGGAAGAATACCACGTAAACGCTTGCATGGAGATTGGTTATTAAGGATTGATGATGGAATGTGATTAATAAGATAAACAACTGTAGAGCAGCTTCACCATAAAATCGCTAACGCTCGCATGGAGATTGGTTATTAAGGACTAATGATGGAATGTGATTAATAAGATAATCAACTGTAAGAGCAGCTTCACCATAAAATCGCTCTGGACAAGAAGATGAAATGAGCAAAGCACGAATGGAATCAAGGATGTGTCTGTGTTTGCGTTCGACTCGCTCATTTTGTTCAGAAGTGTAAGGACAAGATTATTCTGTCAGTGTACCATATTCTTTAAAAAAGGATTGAAGTTTAGTACCAAGATATTCAGTAGCATTGTCAATTCTCAAAACTTTGATAATTTTAGAGAACTAAGTTTTAACCATGGGAGCAAAATCAATATAAATTTGTGATAAATCAAAGCGATTTTTCATAAGGTATGTCCAAATAAAACGAGTATGATCATCAATAAATAACACGAAGTACTTGGAATCCCTCATGGTGGGTGTAGGAGATGGACCCCAAATATCAAAATGCACGATATCAAAAGGAGCGGTAGAATGAGAATGACTACTTGAAAATGATAAAGCTAGTTACTTTGCAGATTGACATGACACACAATGCAAGGTGTAATAACTCAAAATTTTTATTTTTGTTTTAGTTTTTATCTTAATTAATATGTTTGGTTTTTACTTTCATTTTTAGGTTTGCAAG